GAGCCATCCCTCCTCTGATCACCTCACTGGATTTCCAAACTCTACCTGTACCAGAGTCCTCAATCCTTTGGACATCATTAGCACTGGATACAGAAATCTGCACCCCTACTCCTTGATGCACCTTAGAATTGGTGTTTATCTTACTATCAATTGTGGTACCCTTCTCTATCTTCTTCCCAACCTGGGTGTCTTCATATTCCATCCATTCACTCTGAGCTCTTTTGACTAGCAGCCTCTCCTCACATTGTTCTTTATTGAATAGCCAGTTATTTCTTGTCTTCCAGAGCCACCACATGATGTAGGTGGATAGAGTGGCTCTGTTCTGACTGTTATCCCCCTTCTGCAAGTGACAAATATCATTCCACCATGCCCTAAAGTCAATTGGTTCCACCTGCAGCCCTTCCCAGAACAATCCTGCAAGTTTCCAGACCCTTTTTGCTCTGTCACATTGAAACATTAGGTGTTCCAGGTTTTCCTCTTTTTCTCCACACCAACAGCAAACTTCATCCACCTTAATCCCTCTGTGCCTCAGATTATCAGCTGTACTCAAGCAATTATTATAGCACCTCCATATAAAGTTTTTGATCTTTGGCTTGATTGGCAAATGCCATGTGACTCTCCACACTTTCTCTTGAATGCCTTGACCCATGTTGCTCCCCTCTGAACCTCTTTCCAAATTCTTCTGCCTCTGAATAGCTTGATAAACACTTTTTACTGTGAAGGTTCCTTTTTTGTTTGGTAGCCAAATCAACTTGTCAGGTCTCCCCAGCTTACTGATATGAATCTTGAGGATGTTTTCTGCATCTTGGGGAGTGAAGGTTTGAAAAATTAGATCACTGTCCCACTCACTTCTTCCTGTAAGCATTAGATCAGCCACTTTGCTTAAATTAACTTTGTCACCTGGAAAACAACATTGGGGCACAAACCTAGTAGCTTTTGGGATCCAAGGAGAATCCCAAATATCTATAGACTGCCCATTTCCCACCATATAACAGGCCCCAATCTTGAAGGAATCCCTAACTTCTAACCACCCTTTCCACAACCAGGAGTCACTATCCCTCTTAGTAACCTCCAGAAAAGTTTTCCCATAGAGATACTTACCTCTCATGACTTGACTCATAAGATTATGAGGCTCAGTAAGCATTCTCCAGATTTGCTTAATGATAAGAGCCTCATTAAGATCCCTGAAGTTTCTAAAACCCAGCCCCCCCTCACTCTTAGACTTAGCCAACCTCTCCCATTGCATCCAGTGGATTTTATTCCCCCCTTCCCCATTACTACCCCACCAGAAGTTGGCAATGATCTTACACAGCTCATCACAGATACCAACAGGAATTTTAAAAACATACATAACATAAATGGGGAGGGCAGCCAAAATGGTTTTAATCAGAACTTCTCTCCCGGCTTCACTCAAAAACTTGTTTTTCCAATTTGTGACCCTTGCCACAACACACTCTTTAACAAAAGAAAAAGTATCTTTTTTAGATCTCCCTATACCCAGAGGAAGCCCCAAGTATTTAGAATATTTGGCCGCAGCCACCCCTTGGAAGATTTGGCAAATTTCAGATTTCAAAAAGTCAGGGGTATTACTGGAGAAAAAAATATTAGACTTGTGCATATTGACTGCTTGACCAGACATAGCACAATAAGAATTCAAAATATCTGAAAGCAAAAGAGCATGAGCAGAATCAGCCTGGCAAAAAATAAGTGCATCATCTGCAAAAAATAGATGAGATATACTAGGGGCATGTTTACTAATTTCCAGACCCCTAAATTTTTGGGAAGAACAAGCAATACTAATCAGATTAGAAAAGGCTTCTGAAGCAATAATATATAAATAAGGAGACAAAGGACATCCCTGCCTTAGGCCTCTAGAAGGGAAAATTTGACCTAAGGCTTGCCCAGAAAAATTAAAAGAGAAGGATGAGGTACTAATACAGGCCCAAATCCACTTCAGAAATTTATCACAAAAACCCATCCTCCTGCACACATCAATAAGGAAATGCCACTCAATTATATCATAGGCTTTTTCCATATCAAGCTTGAGGGCCAAAAAATATCTTTTGCCTTTTTTCCTACTATTTATAAAGTGGAGACATTCATTAGCTACTATAATATTGTCAAGGATCTGCCTACCAGGCACAAAAGCAGACTGGGAATTGGAAATGCAACAATGAAGGACATTTTTCAACCTGTTTGCCAAAATTTTTTCAATTAATCTGTAAGTAATAGTGCAAAGACTGATAGGTCTATAATTAATAATGGTTTTGGGATTTTTTGTTTTAGGGATTAGGGTAATAATGGTATGATTAGTAGCTTTTGGAATACAGCAAGAGTTCAAAAAATTTGACACAGCCAAAAAGAGATCATGTTTGATAATATCCCAAGCAAATTGGAAAAAAAAAGGGGGAATAGCCATCAATACCTGGGGCTTTATTTGGATCCATGGCCCACAAAGCAGACTTGATCTCCTCTTCAGTCACTGACTTGGTTAGATTCTCATTCATCTCAGTATTTATGGACCTTTGAATCCCCTGCAACCTCTCATTTCCATCTCTAACTCTCCCAGATGTGAATAGCTTCTCAAAATAACCAGTAACTTCCTCCACCACTTCTTCTCTATTCTGACAGCTCTCTCCATTGAGTCTTACCAAATGATCCAAACTATTTCTTTGTCTTCTTTGCCTCACACAGGCTTGGAAAAACCTGGTGTTTTTGTCTCCTCCTCTTAGCCAGTTAACCCTAGACTTCTGCTTCCAAAAAGCCTCCTCCTCCAAGTATGCCTTATGAATTTTATCTCTGCAGTTCTGCCACTGTTCCCAGTCTCTCAACTCACCTTGGCACCCAAGCTTCTCTAATTTGGCATTACACTCCTTGATTGTGATTTCTGAATTCAGTTTCTGACTAGCTGCCCAACCCATCAAACAGAACTTGACCTGTCTTAATTTCTTCTAGAATTTGTAAAGGTCAGGCCCTTTGGTATCTTCCTCCCAAGCCTTTTTGATACATTCCTGAAACCCTTCCTTGCTTGCCATCTATTGTCAAACATAAACCTTCTTTTTCCTTCTGTCCTTTCATTATCACAACTCATCAGCAACATACAGTGATCCGAAGACACCAGAGAAATGTGTTTAACATAGGTTTCAGGATATTTGAGCATCCAGTCAGGTGACAAGCAAATCCTATCTAACCTCTTCTCAACAAACTCCTTCCCAGCCCTGAGGTTTGACCAAGTGAAAGGATAACCCCTCAAAGAACACTCCACCACCCCCAGCCCCTGCAGAAAACCCCTAAACACATCAAAACTGGCCATGCTTCTAATCAAGCCCCCTCTCTTCTCTTCCCCTGAGACGATATCATTGAAATCCCCCCCTATGAACCAAACCTCCCCCCACCTGAGATGATGTCTATGAAGGATTTCCCACTGACCTTGCCTCTCTAAGGGGTCTACACTGGCATAAACAAAAACTGCCCACTTAGATTCAGAGGATCCAGAGAAAGAAAACTTGACTTCAAGACTGAACTGATTATTTATAATTTCCAAAACATACACTTTCTCAGACCAACACAACAAAAGCCCACCTTTTTTACCATAGGGATCAACACAAAACCACCTAGAATCTACATGCAAATTTTTACAAACCGTAGACACAAAAGCTTTTTTCTTTTTGGTTTCAGATAAAAACACAAAATCTGGGAGGTAGGATTTGATTTGCTCCTTCAACTGGGAAATTGTAGAGGATCCTCCCAAACCTCTACAATTCCACACCATAGCTATCATTTGGAACTTTGGGACCAATTATGGCTGGTTGCCTCCACCTTTTCAGAGTTAAAATCAATAGACAATTTAGGTTTTTTGTTCTCAGACACAGACACTTGACCCACCACATTTGTGGGTTCAACCACTTTTCTTTTCAGATATTGACCACTACTTTGACTATTAGACACTTCTGATGAAACAACAGCAACATTTTTATCTTTGACTTCTGTTTTTTTGCTTCTAGTAATCATCACAAAAGATTTAGGAATTTTAGCCCCTGTTTCAACAGGTTTAGCAGACTGATAGGAACATCTATAAGATGGACATCAAACAATGTATTCCCCTTAGAAAGATCAAGATCCATGGGCATCACTGGGTAACTCTCAAGGTTTGAGGGTTGGGTTACCACACACTCCCCTCTCTCCCCACCTGGCTCTGTCCTAATCACCTCTGTTAGCCTAGCCTCAGAGGGAGCTTGGTTCTCAACCACAACATCCACAATACCCTCTCCCACACTCCCATGAACCAGGTTTTGAGTTTTATCTGGACTATTCTCTACCCCCCTTTAGCTGTTACTTGATAGGATTCAGAGTTAGAGTTAAACCCCCTAGATGGTGCTCCTTATGTCTCCTTGAAAGTTATTGATAATGGATAATTTTGGTTTCATGCTTCCATCTGAGCTGGTTGACCTAGTTTGATGCTGTTGGTACTTGGCAAGTGTAAAACATGGATTTTCAAGCAAATTCACCCTTTCTCTCACTCATTGTATTATAGCTGTATACTGATGTTTGCTTTTGATAATCCAGATTCGGGTACTTGCTTCCTTTCATTGACAGATTTCGTTGTTTTCGCATCGCGTAATAGTCTAATTGGAATGAAATGAAGAAAATAACTTAAAAAATGTTTGACTTCATATTTTCATGCTTTTAAACAAGAAAAAGCCCTGTACTATTGAAAAACAGTATGATTGTAGTTGCTATTGTAGACCGTTCTTGCCGCCCATTTACTTTGAGCAACTGACTATCCTTATTCCTTGGTGCATAAATATATGAAATCTTTTCTCCAAGCAATGTGCTCGTCTGAAAGTTTAATGGATATTACTTGATATGTTTCTCGAAAACAATAAGCAGCGCATTTATCTTCCGCTTTGTTTTTTGACGTCTTAGGAAACTGTGGATCAGTGACCCAATTCGACCGTGAAATATGATAATTACTTAATCATCCTTGGTCATCCCGCAAGATGTGGAATCGAGCGTCCAGCTACGTAGCTGGGACTATAAGCCTAAGGCATGACGCCCGCAAGACGACGGCTAATGAGTACTCAGCCGAGTGCTCAGACGAGGAGGCTTCATCAGTTGGTAGCAGGGAAGAGGGTCTGGAGTGCCCCATATGCTGGGAGTCATTCAACCTTGTTGAGAACATACCCTACGTCCTGTGGTGCGGGCACACCCTTTGCAAAAACTGCATCCTGGGCCTGCAGTGGGCTGTCGTCAAATTCCCGACTTTGCCCCTCCAACTCCCCCTCTTAATATCCTGTCCATGGTGCAACCTACTATCCCTCCGCCTCGTCTACCGCGGGAACCTTAAATTCCCACGCAAGAACTTCTTCCTTCTGTGGATGCTTGAGAGCATGAATGGGGACAGAGTGAAAACCCACTCGTTCGGTGCCCCCGGGAGGGAGCATTTCATCCATCGCTCGCACGACTCTGATCGTGATGACACCCATCATCACTTTATTGATGATAATTATAATTACTTTTCCCTTGCCAGGCTGCACGTGTCCCTCAGGAAACCGCTCGTGTTCGTTTTGCACTTGACGGCCAAGTTCCCACTCGTCATTATCTTTCTCCTCATCATTCTGTACGTGATACCTGCGAGTGCGGCTCTTTTGGCGCTCTACGTGCTCATTACCCTTGTCTTTGCTCTGCCCTCGTTCCTCATTCTCTACTTTGCATATCCATGTTTGGATTGGCTTGTGAGGGAGATCATCACGTGATTCTTGTTTTTTGCCTTTTCTTTTTCATGTACGTTTCTGCGTTTGACCCCTGCATTTGTGAAGTGGACGTGAGCTTTCGGAACCTTTCCCTGTGAAATGACCGTGTGTAAAGTAACAAAGTCCATAGGTAGCTGCAATTGCAACTCTGCACGGTTGGGTATTGCCTTATTGGTTGATTTTGTATACTGGTGTAATTGTGTCTAGATTCTCTGTGAATAGTTCCAAAGTGCGGGTGGACTTTGTGTGCGTTTCTCTTTCTCACAGACACACATTAATCGAGAATATGAGAGGGTGGTTGATATAAATTTGATAGAGTTTTGATTGGATTTTTTGGTTATATCAATTAATTTTAATAAAGTTGGGTGAAGTATTTTGGCAAAATTTTGATGTTGTATTAAAATAATAATTAAAATAAAATAATTAAAGTTGATTAGGCTATGTTTGGTGGTAAACATAGTTGATAAAACTAGTTTATAACTTTTAAGTGAACTTTGAGCTTACACTTGATAGCTTAGGATTTATGGTTGAAAAACTAATAAAAATGTTTGGTATAATTAAATAATAAGTTAGTTGAAAAGAATAAATTAATGGGTTTATTTGAAAAGTTACACAAGGAAGTTTATGTGATAAGCTCGGACTTGAAAAAAAAAACTCGTCCAATCAAACCAAATTTATGTGAATGCAGGAAGCTTGTAAGCTAATCTAAGTTATAAGCTAATTTATATGTTTACAAAACACAAGCTTAGTGTAAAAGTAAGATAGATGTGATTGAAAATGATTAATAGTTAAAAATATGAGTATATGAATAATGAATTAAAGTTGATGTGATGTGTAGAAATAATTGATTGATATTATTTAATAAGTTTGATAATATCCAGGAAAGTTAAGATATAATAAAGTTTAATTTATATTTTGAGTTGACAAAGTCATTGGATATTTAGATACAAATTTGTATCCAAGCAACCCAGAGTTGGGACTAGTACAACACGAACGTATACAACATATCGATGTAAAATTGTAATTACGTGGACCGAATATCTACTTTTATTTGCAAAAGTGAAAGTGTGCAAGCTAAAATTTAATGATAATTGCACTGTCGAAAAACATGAATGAAGTTTGTAACAGAAGATGGGGGTTATCGACCCCATCTGGGGTTCCAACGGTGCAAACTGACACAACACCATCTGTTGTGCTTTTTAATTGTCATTGGAACATGTTACTTTAATAATGGTCCAAATTTTATGAAAAGAGAGACTTATATTAAATTAAAATGCAAGAGGAAGAGAGAACATTTCCCACTATTCTGATAATAGCCTTTGAGTTGAATTTACATGAACGTGAGATTGTTGTATTTTGAAAATTTAAACTGCTCATAACATTATAGTTTCCCACTTTTCATATTTTTTTAATCTCATCTTTTTATATAACAAATTTGTAAAATTACTTAGAAAATCATATATGCAGGAGTGACAACATATTAATTGATTATTTCAAGAGAAAATAAATATGTGAATTGTAATTATAAATAAATATGTTATTCTAAACAATGGTACAAGTTTAAAAAACTAGAATAGGGCTAAATTAACTAATGGAAGTCTTTTGAAAAGTTTAATTATTCAAAATGTTACAAGTTTCAAATTTTCAATGATATATTACTTAAAAAATAATGGATTGATATTTTTTTTTAAAAGGTGTATGTTGAAATTATATTATTTTTTTGAGATAGTTAAAATAATGGTTTTGTAAATGGCCCTTTATTTTATCAATCAATGTAATATTATATAATTATGGTAACGTAAAACCATTTGACCGGCTGGAATTTGAGTGATTGCCTTCCTTCTCGCCGGTTAAACGTCACGCACCTATAAAGAACTCCCACACCGGAGGAGTTTTCCGGTGAAGAGCCTCCAAAGCTTAAGTCAATGATTCCTCAATCATTTCTTAAAGGTAAAACATGTATTGATCGTGTCTAACAAGAAAGGCTCACCCCCATATATAGGGACGAGATACTTAACCTAGAACTGCCCAGATTTGTTGAGCTGACTGCACAAACCTGCCCGTCCATACACACACAGTATGCGCGTGGCAGAGATAGTCATCGCCACTATCTACTGCACCAATATCTTTGCGCCACGTGTCCTCTACACATGGGGTAAATATTCCCTCATGATCCTGTTGACGTCCTTCAGACATACCGTTAGAAGCTCTCACGTTTGACCTTATCCGAGTCAATCCTCTAAGTCGTCTTCGATTCGCGGTATGATCGACCAACAAGCCGTTCCTGATCGATAGAATGACCACTTACACCACTCATTGCTCTCTATTGTCGACCATCGTCCAGGCCTTAACATTAGGACCTCTAATGTTAGAACTCTCGTCATCTTATTCCTTAGACCGTTTGATTCTGACCACTTTGCTCAATATTGTTCGACCAGTACAATCCCCTTCATATTCGTGTTTGTTCGATCGATGCACTTGGCCGGTTTATTTCTTTAGATATAATATCCCATATCATCTTGTCCCCCCCACTCTGGTCGAGTTTGAATGACTCGATCTAAGAGTAGATGCCTTACTTACTTTACTATCCGCATTCTCATCCATTATCAACCACTTCCACTCGTATTTTCCTTTTCTTTCTCTTTTCTTCTCAATTTTACACATGTCCTTTACCGCGCAGCTTCATTCTTGCCACCAGTCTCGTATGCTAGACATGTCCATCATGGTGTCCTTTCACAATCCTTGATTTTTCGTATCTCGCGCCTGCTTTAATACTTCTAACCGTTGGATCTCCTTTAATCTAATGGTCGTTTCCCTTATTCTTCCTCTCTTATTTCATATTTCCTTATAAATATCTACACTTAGGATTTTTGGGACTTTTTCACTTATGCATTCCTCGAATTCACTTGTAACACCCCGCCATGTTGTAAATATCAGAGTTTAATTTTCGCAAAACCTTTTAATAAAAATTGCTGATTAGTTTGCGAAATCGTGTTTCGAAGTGCTACCGTAACAATGACTTTACCTGGAAAACCGTTTAGTTTTTAAGAAAAACGGTTTATCATAATATAAACAATCCTCCTGGTAATCGGATCCAAAAGACTAAGTTTGACAACATGAAATATCAGCGAAAAACGTAGCGTGGCAAAACATTTAAACTCCACTACGGGAGATTGTAACAGCACTGCTATGCCAACTCCAAACATGTAAACAAAATCCTGAACCGCCCGTCAGCTCACTCCTCCGGTCCGACCCTGTGACCTGAAAAACATAGATAAACATGGGGCGTGAGCACTAAAGTCCACTGTACTCCGTAGGAACTCATACTAAAGTAAACAGTGAAAAAAATTGCAATATCATGATCCTGGCATATACATAACCTGAACATGAAACCGGTACTGAATAATCATAACCTGATAATCATCACCTGACCGTTACCTCATCTGCCAGCATAAAAATACCGGACACCATGTGCACACTCTAGTGGGCAGACTAGGGCCACTGATCCGTCGATATGAAAAGGTAGTGCTGATAACAGTAGCCTGATTAAACTCCTTAGCTGCTCGATCAATCGAACAGAATTTCCCAGATTGCTTGGCCTTAACTTGTCTGCTCAATAGCGTGCATGCGTGGCTTCTTTTTCCTTCTTCTCCGAGCGTTTTCTCTTAACCCTCACTATTTCTCTCTTAACTTTAGCTTAAGATTTTGACTAAGTGTAGGATAAATTTCCCAACACTTAATATAAATATACGTACAACAATTTGCAAAGGGAGGTGAAGATATGCTTTGGCCAATAAGCTTAAGCCACTTGCCTTGAGCTTAATACATGAGGTGTACCCATATTTGCTTAGTCATCCCTTAGAGAGTTAAGAAAGAGCCACCTCATGCTTGGAAAAATTATGAAGCTTCACATGAATTCTTGCTCCAAAGGTTTCGACACTTAGCAACCTAAGCATGGTTTAAGTGCTAATTAAGCACAATTAACGTGCTTAATAATTTGGTCATGCATGATTAACTGATTGATCTCGGTAATTATCTTAGCATATAATTGAACACTTAGAATTATTCTGAGCATAAACGTGATTTCGAAAATTAATTCAAATATTCTTGACTTGGACGATTAATCAAAATTTTGATATATTCGAATAATTCGTCAACTTAACTTATTAATTCTGAACTTGATAACGTCCATTTATAAATAAATGGACTGAGATTAATTATTATCATTGATTCGGTTAATAAAATTAACCGGATATCCTTTCGACTTAACGTCGAACTTGGAATTTACCTTAGCTGAATAACTTCATCTTGAACATTGACATGATTATTTATTTAACAAGGCTAGCTTATATTTCAAACTAGTATTTTCCTTATTAATAAAATTTGGGGCGTTACAATCCACCCTCCTTAAAATATTTCCGTCCTCGAAAATACTAAAACTGGAACGTACAAGCTTAACCTAAAGCTTATACTTACCGATGACATAACTTGAGAATTCAGTATTTTAATATTGAACGGTAGATTTGATCTGAACTGAAGAATTATCAATTCACAATTAAGTGAATTGCTGAGAATGGACACTTTTCTGAAATAAAGTGTTCCACTTACATGACCTTAAAAGCATAATTCTTGAGCGTACTGGTCATCAATTCCTGGCTGATTGCTGATCTTCGGTCTGAACGTTAATTGTGGAACCAAAGTCGTTGGTACACACGGAAAATTTCAGAGATACGCACATGTACAAATGAGGATAACTAGAATATTGGTTACTACATTTCGTGAACATTTACTCGATAACGCGGCACATCCTTCGTGGCACATTGCAATGCAGCACACCTGCTCCTCATCAAGTGAGTGCGGCACGCCTGCATGCAGCACCTAGCGAACATTGCACTTGCGACGTCGACGTAGTCTGTATACCTGATCATATCTGTATCTCAAGCTAGTAACCTCAATTTACTATTATGCTAACTCTCCGTGATCTCCAGTGTACTGTGACTCGG